TGTAATACTTTCAACAATAAAGATTTAAAAAATAAAATAAAAATAAATAAAAAAATTAAAAGAGAAACATTGAAAAAAATAGTATATGGATATTGTAAAATGCAATTCCCTGTTATTGCTAATTAATGGTCCCACACAATTCTATAGTTTAGTGTGGAAGTGGATTGAAAGACATGCCTCCTTGCTCCTTGTTTACTTCCTGTCACAGAGGGGTGTGCCGGAATTTAAAAAAAGGGGGGATACTTCTTAAAGAAAAACTTCTAGATAGATAAAAAGTATTAGAATATGAATAAAGTGGATGATTAGGGTAATAATTAGCATTTATTGAGCAGTTAATATGTGTCAGGCACTGTAGTAAATGCATAAGCTCATTTAATTGAAGTCTATCCTATGAATTAGGAAGTGTTAGTCTGCTTATTTACAGCCCAGGGAACCAAAGCTGTGAGGGGTGAGTAATTTGCCCCAGTCCCTGGCTGGCACAGCTGGGATTCCATGTTGGATATATCTGAATTCAGAGCCTATGCTCTCATCATTATGCTTATAACTAGTTATAGCTTTAGTTCATTTAATTTTACAAGCAATGTTATTATCCGTGGTGCATTATTTTGTGTTTTATCCTGTATAAAATAAAGTATAGTTGAAGCTGGCTTTCTCCTTCCTGTTTGTTTATTTTATTTTTATTTAAAACATTTTTTTTATGGATTTCAGAGAGGAAGGGAGAAGGAGAGATAGACAGAAAACATCAGTGATGAGAGAGAATCACTGATTGGCTGCCTCCTGCACACCCCCTTCTGGGGATCGAGCCCACAACCTAGGCATGTGCCCTTGACCGGATTCGAACCCAGGACCCTTCAGTCCACAGGCTGACGCTCTAGCCACTGAGCCAAACCAGCTAGGGCCCATTTGTTTGTTTTTCAATTTTTCTTCCCCTTTAGTGACATAGGGCCCCTCTTCCTGTCTTGATTCATCAATAACATCTAGGGCAGTGGTTCTCAACCTTGGCTGCACATTAGAATCACCTGGGAATCTTTTTAAAATCCTGATTTCTGGGCCTCATCCTCCGGAAATTCTGTTTCTTTGTTATGGGGTGGGGCCACAACATTAGTTTCCGGAGGATGAGGCCCAGAAATCAGGATTTTAAAAAGATTCCCAGGTGATTCTAATGTGCAGCCACTGTTGAGAACCACTGATCTAGGGCCTCTGACTGCTCAGTAGGGAACTAGAGTACCCAAACATTTTAAATGTCAGGCAATAATTATACACATTAATCACGTGGAAAGCCATGAGTAACCTATAACCCTTGAGGCACATCTGAAAATGTAACCGCACTATTGATTTATTTTTATTTTTTAAATAGATTTCGGAGAGGACAGGACAGGAGAGGGAGAGAGAGAGAGACATCAATGATGGGAGAAAATCATTGATTGGCTGCCTCCTGCACGCCCCACACGGGATTGAGCCTGCAACTCTGGCATGTGCCCTGACCAGAATTGAATGGTGACCTCCTGGTTCTTAGGTCAATGCTCAACTACTGAGCCCCCCTAGCCAGGCTAACTGCACTATTTAAATTATGACCCAAGGAAATGTCACTGCTGAGGGTGTTTGCTATACAGATAAACACGGCTTAAAGAAGTCCCTGGTCTACACTAGCTGTTGTGCTAGTTTTTACCTAAAAGAGCAGCTCTTGCCTCAGGTTTTTTCACTGTTTCTCCCTCTAAGCCCAAACCAAGCTCCACCGCCCCCACACAAACTGGGCTAGTCTACCTCTGATGATGTCTTACCAGCATAGGTCTTTTCCTTCTCTACTTAATAATTGGTTTGATGATGCTTCTGCTTATCATCTTAGCCCTTCTTTACTTCACCAGTCAGCCACCATTTGATCGTCTATGTCTTCTAGTCTTATCACATGGCAGCCTGCCAGCAGATTAATGATAAGCTCAGCCTTGATATCTGGAAAGCAAGTGCTTTCATCAGATAGCAATGGACAGTGTTTTGTCATTTGATAATGGCATCCCAGATGGCTATAATGTATTTCATTTTGTATTATCTACACTGTTTTTGATCATTCATTCCCTTCAGTATATTCTTAAGGAGTTCTTAACCAAATATACTGTATGTATACTTATTCATAAAGTATATACATATGCTACCATCATTAGCTTATACCTCAAATACAATATATGCCTAGGGTGAAGTTCATTGTTAATGATAAAGCTTATACATCCACATTTCAGACAATCTTTTTGATGAATTATCTTTTTTAAGCCAAATTTGGTTGGATTTACCAGGCTGTTATTTTAAGGCTGTATTTAAAGTACATTTTGATTGATTTTCCAGAGAGGAAAAGAGACGGGGGAAGGGAGAGAGAGAGAGAAACATTAATAATGAGAATCATTGATCAGCTGCCTCCTGCATGCCCCTTACTGGAGATTGAGCTCACAACCTCGCATGTGCCCTTGACTGGAATCGAACCCAGGACCCTTCTGAATTATCTTTTTTAAGCCAAATTTGGTTGGATTTACCAGGCTGTTATTTTAACTTCAAAATGTGGTTGTCTAAGAGCTGATACTAGAAGTGTCAGTTCTGTCATTTGTTTGTTTTCCTGTGGTTTCTTTGCAGGGGACTCTTGTCTATTTTCTATGAGTTTGTTTAATGAAACCTAGATAATATAATCAGTAAATCCACTTAACTGGACCTAGTAAACTTTAATATGTCACTACAAGTTGGCAGAGACTGACTGATCGGACCACCACACCCAACCCCTGGAAATGGGTAACTCCCACTAGGCCAAGAAACCATTCCACAGACGGAGTGCAGAGCTATATACTCATTCTGTATATAAAATATTAGTTGAGCTTAATGCTTTTTTTCCCCCAATTTGAATTAAGCATACATAGATGTCCTCATATTTTCTTCTCCTACATCCCAAATGGATTGCCTTGCACTATTCCTGGAATACACACACTCCTTGGATGCATGGACCTCCTTTAGAAACTATTAAGGAGGTACAGTTTCAAGAACAGTTTCTCACATCGGCAAGGATGTTTTGATTTAAAAAGGCCTGCTCATTTTAGTTACTCTGCCATTTTATAGAAAGTGAAACAGTTTTGAAATGAATTGTCTTTATAGAGACCCATAATTTGCAAGCAAAATTCCCACTCTACAAAATGTGAAATGTTCTAAGCAACAGCTGTGAGCTTTTCAAACGTGCACTACTCTTTAACGGTTCAACTGTTGCCAAGGGAAATTGAGTTGGCTTTAAAATCTTCCTTCAATTCTGCATTTACCCTCAATCAGAGATTGAGTAAACAAGTTCTTGGACAGTGTTTTCATAAAGACTGGTAAAAGAAATTGAGATGTGGAAATTTAAGTTTCTTTAAGGTAGGAGACTGGTATTCTAGCCAATTATATAGGGCCTCATGGTGATGAACTTTATCAGAGCAAAAATGGGCGGTTGAAAGTGGCCAATCATTTGGAGTCAGTAGGGGGAGCCTGCTTTCACCAGAGAGCCATCTTTTCCTGTCCCCAGTTCAGTTCAAAACAGGAATATTTTTTATCTTTCATGGCACAAAAATTTTTTTTCCCACTCAGGAGCCATTTCTGGGAATGAGCATAGAAATGTGTAAAACTTGATGGTTAACATAAACAAGAGAAATGCAATGCATTTTTTTTGTCACCACTTGCACATACAGTATATATAGTTTGATTTATGTATGGTTCTATTTCCTATGGAAATAGATATGGATGTATGGAAAACATGATATAATACCGAGGGGAAATACTAGGCTACAGGAGAAGGTATATTAAAAGAAAAAAAATACTGGAGGGAAGTACACTAAAATGCTAACAGTGGTTGAGGGATTATGAATGTTTATTCCCCTCCCCCCATTTACTAAGTTTTTCTGGGGGGGAAATAGACCCCCTCTTTTTGGGGCTTTTATTTATTTATTTTATTTTTATTCATTTTAGAGAGGAAGGAAGAGGCAGAGAGAGATAGAAACATCAATGATGAGAAAGAACCATTGATTGGCAGTCTCCTGCAAGCCCCCCACTGGGCATTGAGCCCGCAACCCAGGCATGTGCCCTTGACCGGAATCGAACCTGGGTCCCTTTAGTCTGCATGCCGAGGCTCTATCCACCAAGCCAAACCGGCTAGGGCCATTTACTAAGTTTTGAACAGTCAGTACCCTGACTTTGGAGTTAGCATTAAGAATTTTCTTCCTTTTTTTTTTTTCCCTTTTCTTTTTTGCCCTCCCTCCCCGCCCCCCTTCCCCCCGCAAAAGAGGTATGTAGTAGAGTGCATCCAACTAGAGTGAGTGTCCAAGAATATTCTCTGGAAACGCACCATTTGGCCTAGGGTTCGCCAAGGACGCAAACACATTTCTAAATATTTTATCACTTGTTCTAGAGTTAAGTCAAGGCTTCTCCACAAACTCCTTCTGATCCGCCGGCCAATTCAAAGCTCCCAGGTTCCTACAGTTGGGCGCGGGGGTTTCTCCGAGCTCCGTCAGGTGGAGGGACGGTGCGGAGGATCCTGATGAATGAGTGCGGAGCGTGGTCAGCGTCCCCACCTGCAGAAGCTACACCGAGCCGCCCTCCAACAAGGCTTGCCGGAGCGTCAGGGAGCTGATATTCAAAAAGGAGGTTTAGGGAAAAGGAGACGAGGTGAGAGAGAATTGGAAGCGATACCCAACCCTTGGCCAGGCCCCAGGGGCTCAGATTTCGGTGCCAGGTCTCCCACAAGGTTCGGCGGGGAGCGACTGCCGGGGGTTCCACAGCAGCAGGCTGCAAGGGGCCCATGGACACAGGCGCGGGTGGGTATCTTATTTCTGTCTACGCGGCGCTGCCTTCTATCCTGAGCGGGGCTCCTCGAGCCCAGAAGGGTCATCCTAGCCTCTGAAGGGGGCGGAATCCCTGCCGGGGGTGCCCCCACCCTTAGCCGATCGTGGCCTTGGAATCCTCTGGTTGAAGACGATCGCCGCCCAGAGGTTCCGCAATGCGTGGAAACCCATTTCATTGATCTGCCCATCGCACACCTCCCGGGTTTAGGGAGCAGCTCTCAGGCCCGGCGGCGGCACTGACCACCCTCTTCAAGCCATCCAGCCTCCTGGCGGAAGCGACGGCAGCGCGGCCGGAGCTCGCGGCTGCATCCGGGTCCCTCGCCCTCAGCCCAATCCTCGCTCTCTTCTCTTCCCACCCTCCCGTGTCTCCGCCCCCCCGCCGCCAATCCCTGACCGGCTCTCAGCCGCACATGCTGGCATGGGAGTGAAGGCGGGCGCTGGCCAATGAGGCCTCGCTTCCCGTTTGAAGCATCCAGTGAGTGGGCGCCGGGGGCGGGCGCTGCTGGCCAGAAGGTTCGGTTGCGCGTGTGCCATGGACTCAGCCGCCCGGTGATATTGACAATAGGAGAGAGAAAGGGGCATTGACGGGCACCCACTGCGGGTACCGAACGGCGACTCTGGCAGCGGCGGCTCCAGCTCCAGCGGCTCCTCCTCCTTCGCCTGCTGCCGCTGCGGATCCAGTCTTCCTCCCTCCCTTCCCCCT